CTAGCCGTTTGGCTATTCCTTTCCCACCAAGCCCTGAGCCATGCGATAGCGGCCTCAGCGGGACGCGAGGGCGAACCAGCCCGTTCACGTAGAATGGCGTAGAGCGGTTAGACGAATGCACTGCATTGTTCAGCGCAAACTCTACGAGTGGCAACAGGGCTCCAGAGCCTCGGCGTCTCAGCGCAAACACTGCGAAGAACGTCTTCGATGACGCGATTGAACGTATTTCCGTAGTGTAAGTGTCAAGACAACACGGGGCGACAAACCATTTGTTAGGAATAGAATAGACCTTGGATTGGGCTACACTGTATTTTTGACGCAAATTCGATGAGTGAAAGCATTTCGCTTCAGCTATGTCATATCTCTGTGCTTGGGAATCGAGAATATCCTCCGCCACACGATCGACACGTTCTGTCTATTTATAAATTCGCGTATTGCCAGTGCTTGAAAAGTCCAGTTCTGTGTCTATTCCCTTCAAAAGGATTTGCTGTAAAGTGCGAATCTCAATCTGATATAAAAGCCAACAGCAAGTCATGTCAGCAAAAAGTCTCGTCAACGAACAAGTTACTCATATAGCTGCTTTCAGTGAGGTAGTTACTACTACATGTTAGATGTCAAGTAACCAGCGCTGAAACATATCAACCCTTGTGAAACTACATCGCGGTCAGACGCGCAACCAACCACCTCTTAAAGCGGCATCTCAGCTCACGCGATCTCTGTTTTTAGGCAACGTAATGCATGTTGCGATAATCTCGTACGCTGTACGCATCACCATAGCAATTTGTGCCGTCACCATCGCGACAGACAAAATTCATAGTTGGAGAAACACGAAAGCGCATCCGCTATGATATCAGCCATACAGCTTATATCCTATCTCAAATGGATGTTTTGCAAATAGTCATCAACCATAACATTTGAGACATGACATTATGACGTTGCTGTGTGCCATCAAAGCAACATCTGTATCGATCACAAATGTGACAGCGGTAAGCTTTTATACCTCGAATCTGACGAAAGCACAAACTTCGTAAATAGTAACTTGCCACATATAAGGCAGCTCTTTTTTGCGGCTTTGAGGTGATGAATCTCAAAGCCATTGCACGCTTGTGTTCAGTAGCATCTGCTTGAGTAAAAACAACAGTTCTGGCAAAGAATGAAGCGTCTTAGACGGCAAATAATGGCCAATCTGATGTAAGCCAGAATCTGGACACATACTTGACGACACCTCTTCTGCAGCGCCCCTGTACCACTCGACATGTTTTTCGGACGATTAATGAGTGGTCGTGACATTTTACTTTGTAATTCCACAAGTAAGTGGTCAGGTCATGCATTTTGAAACAAAGGCACTGGCGGATCCAGAATGGCGTTGATCTTTGCGGGATGTGCCCGCTAGCAGATTTTCAAACTGAGTTTTAGTCGACGCCAGAAACAAACTTATCTCTGCTGCTGGGCAATTTATTGACGCGCATACACTCGAGGTCTGCCTGCAAGGATTTAATAGGGGATTTTCTCCATTTACTCCCAATGTTTTGCACGACTGTGTACAAACCGGAGGTCTATGCCTAGTCATGATGCGTCTTAAACTGATGCGTCGCCAGACAATTGAACGTCGCTGGCGCGTGAGACAGTTCTTGCGGCATAATGTGCCATGACCACTGAAACTCGTTAAAAATTAGTTGGCGCAGTGCAAGGCATATCACTTATCTCATAAGAAGTCATCATTGGTCGCTTAAGCCGATTTTTGTTCACCTATTCTGTAGCACATTCACTCTGGAACTCGGTGTTTGTGCCGGAATCGTGGCTGCTTTTATCTTGTTATATGCTAGTGCAACTCACTACATTCCGCTTTCCCTTCTGACGTAGAGTATCGGCGAGAATACGAGAACGCACACAATCATATGAAACACGCTTCGTGCTCTGCACGGAAGAAACGTCAGCGATGGCACATTTATTTCCTTGCTTTGGGCTTTGTCGTCGTATGGAGTAGTAGTCCCGAAACTTTATCATTTTCTCGACATATCGATAGAATGCGTGATGAGTCTTTTGTCACCACACCGTCAATTTTTTAGCAAAAAATAAAATGTATCAAAGTATTATTAAGAATAGCTATTTCACTCCATGCCGTTACATCTGAGTGAATTTTCTCAATGACGAATGACGAGTTCAATATCAACCTTTATCATTTCGTTGGCTTCACCGCCTGGCAATTCTTCGTAGATACCTTTGAAGGTAATTCTTCAAGATCACCGCGACCTTTTGCCAGAAGGCATACTGGGAAATATACATCCCTTGGACTACCCCGGGCATTCAGGATACGAATATAAAATTCTCGCGCCACAAACACGTGGAAATACTGCTTCGCACGATGAGTGCGATACAGTAGCGCTGACTCAGCGATGTTGGAACATCACGATAAAGATTAGTCGTCTTTGATAATTTAAGGCGTATGCTTTCCACTTGGGACTTGCAGTCGAGCGTACTTGCAGTAGAACGCAATACACAGTCGCCCATACACTCTAAAAGCTGGAGCAGAATACCGCGACGCGCACAAGCTCTTACTCTCACCCGGCTCTGGACAACGACGACCACCTTACAACTGTTTGTAAACGCTCCTAAAGATACTAGGTCGTGCATTTCAGACTAGGTAAAGATACAGTATGCGAAGTGCGATATACGATCGCGATTTCTTGTTCCGGCTTGCAGCCGCGATCAACTGCTGCTTGAACCTTCTTGGATTTGCTAAAGGCCATAAGTAATATCATCACTGAATGTTTGACAGGTACTCATACCCCAACTAAAGTTTTTGATGCTTCATGCTTGCATCATGAGCGCTTATATTAAATTGCAGATGTAGTTATATGACTCAACAAATTTCACTGGGAGAAAATTGCGTGGTGCCTTGAATCGATCCATGGTGAACTGCGTTCAAGCCACGTCAAATGTTGTACAAAATCGCATATCAAATTCAGATCAGGGATAGAAGAACGGTCTTTGCTTTAAAAGGCCTAACTTATAACGCAGAGACACAAAATAATCTTCAATACTCTGACTGGTGTCCTCAACACGATATACAAGGAAAATGGTTCTGAGATATTATCTTTTATACTGTCTACTCTCTGAACAATCGCACGTCACAATCCTGACTTTGAAACTTTCGCGGCTTCACAGAACCGGAAGCAGTAACATCACCGACAGCCAACCTGGGCTATAAGCTTCATCTCTATTAGACAAGTTTAGACCTTTTTAAGCTGGGACGCATCGATCTTGACCTTCATGTGGTACAATTGAACCCAATTTTTCTTAGGAGACCACCCCCTAAGCCAAGTAATATGAGAGCGCGCAAAGCAAAAATGTTTTTCGTTCCTACTGGCGTAGCATCTGAGAGTTTTGTATACGGAGCTTCTCGGCAGCCAAGACATCTCTCTTTCTCATCGGTAGGCTAAGCTCCATCGCCTCTGGCGAGCTTGTAGAAATATACTTTTCGTACATTTACCAGCCTTCAAGGTATAGAAGCTGAGTTTGGCCTTCAATACACTCATTTTTTCTCAAATGATGGGGTAGAAATAGAAGTCTTGATGCAACTCACACTTCCATACCAATGATAACTACTGTTTCCACCTTCGGTAGAGGACCTACTGCAATCGTCTCACCCAGAAATCTCAACCCTTGGACATAACCCGCTACTTCATGCCATTTCGACGCGTTGACGCAAACTTGGAACGCACTAGGTACGTCGTATCAGACTGTGCAAAACCCGCATTTTATGTCGTTTCAAGTCTTCCACGGTTAGGGTGCCTCATCTACCAGGTGCTGCACGTAAAGCTGTTCTCTGGTGCGGGATCTTTGCCAAAAGAAATCTAGCTTTTTGCGTTGTTGATTCGTCTGAAACATAGCCGAACATATGGTGATCTCAACTACTCTCATCCAGGAAAAAAATGTCCCTGCCTTTAACGGGACAGGCCCCCAGACATTGCGAATACTAAAAATCGATAGTGTTTCCTCCGGCGACTGTTGGTACCTCTCTGGAGCTATGACCAGCTCAAAATCGTGGCTGCTGGTGCCTGCGGTGGCAACCCGCTTGGTCGCTTGATGTGCTATCGTACTGTGACCAACAAAATACATGAGGTTATCGAGCATGTCTAGTGATATATATCGGATTTGCTATGTTTGATATTAATCAACAATTCGAATCGTAATAATCTTTTGTTTAACATGTTAGCTAGCATGTCAGCTGACTTAACAAATATTGGTCTTACTTGGTGCACCTTTGACGTGACAGCAAATGTTTTTGAAACTGTCGTCAATATGATCCATTCCGCTATGACTTGCTTGATCACTGTATGGATGTTTATCCGTATGCTCGTAGAGTTTATAACATAAGAAACGAGCTGGTTGAATAGCTTCAACCCCATGCCACTGACTCTGTTTACCTTGTGCTTAGGTTCACAGCGGTCTTTTTCAGAATGTGATAGCTAGAAACGCACCCTATTACAATCCGACCGAATTGTTCACTGCAAATTTGACATCACACCAAATATTTAGCCGCAAAAATCTGATTCACTTTCAGGCCAAGGTTAAAATACTTGGACCTTTTGAGATACGAGGGATCTTATGATTTCTTTCAGCAGCCCAAGCTTGGCTTGCACGCCTTTTCGTAGCCTTGTCAATCGCAAAACACAGTTTCGGTCGAGTGCATCGAGTGGTAGACTATCCAACTAATGTATTCTACTTTTTATAGAGGCTGGTCCATCCGCCGCTGTAACAGACTTTGGCATGTGTCATTGTCACATTTATGACCGATTGAATATTTTATGCGAAATATCAACCATTGTAGTATGCAAAGCGCGTTAATTGTAACCACTAGATTTAACACAAAACCCATGTTTTGACGCACTTGGACTCAATATCAAAAAACATTGCTTTATTTCATTATGTCTAGTTTGCCATGTCTAAGGCATATGGCGATGGCCATTACTATCCGCCATAAAAACACGTTTGAGCTTAAGAGTCAAAACTCGACTGTACAATGGTCATTTTGCGTGTATATTTCTTTGTAATTGTAATGAGCAACACTTGTCATTACATGAAAGTACCTTCTGTATGCATTGTGGGAATTATTAAAAGAAGATTCCAGTATAATAATTCCAAATGCATAAGTTAAATTCTTATATGAAGTCACAAACATTCTGTGTGATACAAAATGCTGGTTCCTACTCGGGGGTCTGTACTGCTGACGAGACCGACGAGTCTTTGTCTTTAAAATAGGGTGGCCTAAACCAGTCACTTTTACTGGATATTTTCTACGAAAGTGGAAACTCAAGCTTTCGAAGTTGGTGGCGTAAGTCAGACCCTTCTACTGGGTACCTTTCACGAAAGCTGAGTTCAAGCTTTCGGAATTTAAGCTCCGTACACCCAAGTTCTTTTATTGGTTGAAACTGAGGTTCAATTTCAGTACCCCTTGATTTATAAATCAAGAACCACGCTAATATTAGTAAAATCTCGAGGAGCCCTTGGAGTGTTTTGCATGTAGCTAGGAACCCTAACTCATTTTAATCAAGTTGCAAATTTACCTTTAAGGTATCAAGTCGTTATTTTCCTTCAAGTCGGGACTGTCCTACTCCATCCACATCGGGATGGAGAAGGTCTCGTCGCACAAGCGTGTGTGCTGTTTTTAAGTAACTGTTTGTATGCAGCGCTCTGTTACAGTCATCGTCCAGTTTGCTATATACCAAAACAAATTTGTTAGCCCAATTACGGGCACTAAGAATCTCAAATTGCCAATACTTGTAATCTACAAATTTCAATAAATTTGGAACGCCCATGAAAGTGCCTAAATTTTTCGTTTTGCTCGATCTCGACAAAAGAGCATTCGGCACATCGCCGTACTCTACCGGCGAGTTTCGCTTCATAGTAAGTACTAATAATATCCTGAACGTTTAGCGCTGCATGTCTGCTGCGAATGCTGTTTTGCTCATCGTTTCAGCGAAAGGCTTACACGCATGGGCCTGTAACCTTATTAATTCAGCGTAGTGAGCAGCAACAGATAGTTGGAATCTGAAATCATGATGCGATCAGGTGTGCAGAATTCGTTGCGACCTTAAAGAGGCTTTCTGAATGTGACTTAGCTTGGCGTTGACGAGCAGTCATTTGTCGATGGTCAAGGCAAAACATGTCTGGAAACGACTCGGAAAGTCGCTACTGCTGGTTTTTATCGAAGATTTCTTGGGTCCACATCAAGGAAAACGTTTAGGTCGCTGGCTGCAAGACCTGCGCCTTTTAAGGAGGGTCGCCGAGCAATGTTTTGGTGGATACAGTTAAGAACTCTGATACAGATATGGTCATGGGGGCAGGTACTGTTGGATGCATGGAGTTGATGAAATCTAAAGCGCCATGGGTGTATGTCGATCGCTAGCTTTGTACTATGTCTTGAAAATGCCATAGAAGTGGGAAGAAACGGATTGATTATATCTTGGTGAGAGTCGTATAAAAAGGTACGTGCTGTACTGCCAAATACACACCCTTTACACTTATCCGCAGTTGCTCAAATATATGTTATGTACAGTTGTACAATTTTCACAAAGTAATTTTGTGTAATTGTGATCGTCATATGTAAAGGTAAAAACGATTTGGTATGCTGGGACCTACTTGTGGGTAGCTAGCCGAATGCCAATAACACAAAATTCTAAATGTTGAGTCCATATTTTGTGTTTCTTATAGACCTTATCAAGGGGCAAGCACTGTAAGCTTGTGTACTACAGCTGGTACAACTATATTAATTACGGTGCGATTGTACAAGATTCACATTACACTGGTGTTTAACATATTTGTTAAGATCGCTGAACTTCAACAAAGGAGAAGCAAGAGATTTACGTGGGCTGCTAGCTGTAGGTTAGAAAAGAGCGTGTAGCAATTTTACAATATATATATGTAACTATTAATTTAAAAATAGCCCTAAATATATGTTGCTCTTAAAAATAGAGCGAACTCAAATAGTAAGTTGCCTCAGAAATTCCGATTCCGCTCACATGATCCCAATCATTGTGCCTGTTAGCGCAAACTATGAGAAACAAAGCTTCCTCTGTACAAATTGAACGCCAATTCCATTGGACAAGGTAACATCTGTAGTCAAACCCATGACTAAGTTTTTAAGAGACTACACACTTCAAAAGAGCGAAACATCGATTACTTTTCTACGATTCTCAGGATAAATAGGCCAGCTTGTCAAAAAATTGCCTACCTTAGGCCCAATTGATTATACAATTAGCCTTTAAAATACAACAAGCGGAAATGGCTTGTCTGAAGATGCTCGCTAGCTTTGCGAATCGATAATGAGGCACACCAAATAGCATCTGAACTGGAAACTAGTGTAGAAGCAGATTACTCTTCTGATGAGTTCGACAGTCCAGGTCCGGAACTGAGCTTGCGGTCTCCAAGCCAAGTAGTTGCGCGCAACAATGGGCTACATGTGCAATACACCTATGCAAAGGGCGTTTCCAACGCAGGGTGGTCATATGTAAAAGTGTACGCATCGTCGCAACAGGCGTATAAGGTGCGTTCAAGCTCGTCTTCACCTACTTAAAAGGCGAGAACTGGCGAATTGTGTCCAAGAGTGATGCGATCAAATTGACGCGATATATCCTACGCTCTCCCGAACGCAGTATTGGTTACAATTGTATGAAGAATCTTCGAACGAGTGTGACTGGCAACGGGACTTTCCGCGTTCACCCTATCTCGTTTGAGAAAGCGGTGGATATTGAATTTAAGCGGAGCACGACTTCCGTTTCGCAAAGACAGGATCGGATTCTGGCAATGTGATCTTTACAGTACTCTAAAGTCGACAGGCCTAATTCATGCTGGGGGAAATGGGTGAGATATCTTAAGTAGCGATCCGATCCATGAAAAATGACAGATCGTCCATCTGAGGTCATACGAAGCATTTTGCTTTGCGTTTCCTGTTCGCTTTCGGCTCAGTGAAAAAAGGGTCAATATCACGCAAGAGCGGAGGATAAATACCTCAAAGGGAGACGCCTAGGCTCAGTATGCGCAGATAGATTACTGGAAAAGAATCAGATTTTATTTTACATTACAAAAGGTCGTGGTTAACGGGTCTTAGCGCTTAAGCGAGCAACTCACTTCTTGAGAATTGGTACCCAAAGATCATAATTGTTGGCTTGTATTTCCATCTTTACAATTTTTGTTAAACTGTAAATGGCCCTGACTGACTCTGAAGCGTAGTGGAATTACGTATTGTGCGCCTGTTGAAAACAGTTGAAATTTTGCGAAGGCATAGAAGACATCGACTTCGAGGACAATATCCGTGCATCTTTTGGAAGGGGACATCTGTACAGGTGTCGACGGTTCTGTTGAAATTCTAAGTGATGTTCACAAACTATATTAGCGTGGAGCGCTGTTCATCCGACGATACATCATTCCGTTCTAGTATAGTACGCCACATGACTTGGTCGACTGGAAGTCAAAAAAGGTGACACGCCCTTATACGCTGGTAGAGCATTGGTGAGTCACTAACCGGAATCTGCTAGAAGACAAAAGCGCGCTGCCGGGTCATGAACCGGTATCTGCTAGAGCATTGGCGAGTCAGTTACCGGTATCCTCCAGGAAACAAAAGCGCGTTTGGCGCGGGCACGAAGCTGCAGTAAGCCGAGCTCTCAGAAGCAGCAGCGAAGCTCTACGGATAAGTAGCAAGTAAGACTATTTAATTCGGAAGGAAGTGATCGAGTTTGTCCTAGAGGCTGTAAATATCCCCGCTCATCCCCAGCAGAAGCGCGTATCGATCTGAACTATTATCCATTGGATATGGGCAAGATATTGCAAGACGATACGGTTGGGACAAGAGAAGATACTGAAACCGCCATCCATTATCGAAAAAATTGTCATTGAAAATTACCGGTGCGATGAGTGGGACTGCTATCGTCAAGGACCATCCGGATTCTATCCATCCCTTCTTCAAAAAAGTCACATTATGGGTTTGAGAGATTCATCTCGCCTATTACTCCCAGTAAGAGGAGTACGTCATGAAATTGACTTGGTTCCCGGAACCAAATATCGCGTCACACTACAATCAATTAAACCAACGTGGCAGTGTGAAATCAGTTTTGTCGTGCAGAGCACGAAGTGGGTAAATTAAGAGAAACCAGATCTTCATACTCAGCGATGACTTACTGTTGAACGACGAATGACAAATTGTGCATGCAGATAAAATATGAAAAATGCAGTCACGTTTTCAACGCAATTGCTGATTCCCGGAAAGCAAACGCTGTTAAGCAGCATGATTTGGGTGCACTTATCTCAGTACATTCAACCTGTTTGCTATTTACTAAGAAAAGCTGATGGGAGGCGGCGGTAGCGGTGAATTCACCTAGTGAAATGCTCTGAAGGAGGAGGCGTAATTTCTCATGCAATAATGATGTTATATTTATTAGTGATACAGCTGCTAAGGCCTGATCATGGCTACGCAGAATTTGATTTCAACTATCGAGTCTTCATATTGTGCTGCAAATCACAGGTCAAATGACACATGCGAGTGAATGCTTTTAAGTAAGCTAGTTGCAAATACAAAAAGCAATTGTGTCTTTGTGTCAAGGCTCATTCTATAAACAGAGCAAGAAGAAACTCCATCCAAGAGCCCAATCGGAGCAGTATCGTTGAGGCAGCATTTTGACTCCTTTGTGTCAATCTAAGCAAGTTGTGCACCTTCAAAAGCCCGAACGCCAGGATTCAGAGTCATAGCCCATGAGTGAGAATATCGGGCTTTACAAGCTAAGTAAGATCTGTATTTTGTACATGAATTTGACATATTGCCTATATGACTAGGAAATTGCTGCCACTGAACTTGATCGTAGTACTAACGACATGAGCCCCTGATTCAGCGCATAGGAATAAAAAAAGCTGTTCATTTACCATGCTATATATGCTAGAGTACATAATTTAGCGATTAGCAATATTTGGTAGTCGTACTAGCCAGATATTATAAATTTATATTTCTCATAACTTTATTGTCTTTGTATCGTTTTTGAAGCTCTGTAATCTCATCCATACTAACGTTTTGGTGCTTATTCATGATATTAATTACACCAAGTGCAATGTCAAGTTTGTACAGCTGTAAGGTATTGTATCGAATGTATCAGTGTTAGCTACACAACCTTCCACCTTCTTCAGCCATGGTGTAGACCATACTGGGCTTACACTTTTTTGACACTGCACAAAAGTGACCGCTCCAAGAGCAACCAAGAACACTTCACACTTTGTACGTTATACTGCCTGCTCTTTTCAGCCTACATGTAGTAAGAGCCTGCTCCCATGCATCAGATTGTATCGCTCAGCGAGATTTGTCAAAAGAGCGATCTTCGCGACCGACGCTTTATGGGAGATCCGCTTTTAAATGCTAGGACGTTTTCTGAAACGAAATTAATCACAGTGACTCTCGGGGTCCCAACCAAATCCTTCCGCCCACATCCGGCTGAACAGGATCTGACCGTCACTCAAAGCGACCCGCTTAATGCACAAGTAGCCCATCCTGCTTTACCGAAAGGATCAGAGTAATGCCGACTATTGCTCAAAATCACGTAGTAGTTACGGCTCTAGTCCTTCCATTTCGATCGTTATGCTGGTGCGAAGCTCCTATAAACTTATGCGTCTGAACCTTCTGCTTACATCCGGAGCTAAACAAGCCTCAAAAATGCTTTCTTAGTTCACAGATCATCATCATCTCCTTCAGGCGTATCGTCTACACTTGAGGAAGAAGCGTTTGAGAATAGCCGTAATCTCAATAACGGGTATACCTCAGGGAATAGATTTGGCAAAAGTGCCGCGATGTGTATAAATCAATCGCTGAAAAAAACATGCCGGTTCATTCGCATAAGGCTTTACAATACAGCCTCGGCAAAGCGGACGTTTGTCCAGTGCATCGTCTCATGCTTGACCATTTAAACACAAAACACGACGGAACGTCATGGGGCCAACTCATTTCTTCGAGCTGCTGCTGTTTCCAGCCTTGTTGCTCTGATGAGACAGCTGGAACAGCTATCCACCAAAGGAGTT